TAATGTGAAACCCTTGTCACAATCTCAATCCCAGTCCACTGACCCAAGTACTGCCTCTAGTAAAACACCTCCTCTAACAGGCCACTCTAAGAGCCCAGCCCCAAGCTCACAATTTCAAACTCCAGCAGTTGGCTCAGTGCCTGTCTCTGGCAGTATGAAATCAGTTGAGTTCACCAAAAATTCCAGCAAGTCTGGGTCCTCCAGCCCAGACCTCATACCCCCCTCCGACCTTAGTCCTGACCCCTTCATGAATCCCACCACACAAACTCCACCACCAGGCAGTGTAGACCCCCCTGTTCTTTGTGTCAGTGCCCCCTTGCCTGCCTCCCAGCAGACAGATCAAGCTTCCCCAGTTGGCAAAGACAACCAAGTTGAACAACAAGCCACTGTCGATCTTCCTAAATCCACTTCACCAATTTCCTCCACTGTCACCAAAACCACAGTGTCATCTAATGCTATGGTAGTTGACTGTGTAGAGGATGAAGCATCTACCTCCTCTGATGCCTTCCTTGGCTCCAGGTTGAACCTGGAGGACTTACAAAGCACACCTACCCTTGGTACGCCCTTTGCTTACACCTGTCCCAGTACCTCCTCTAACCCTATCCTAACTCAAGATGTTCTTAATGTTGAGGCAACAACCTTGGAATCAGACTCAGTCTCCCCCAAGCCCCAGTCACCAGAACCCATGGAAGAAGATAAAGATCAGTCTCCTCCACCAGCAACACCAAAGCAAGACCAAGCAACTGTACCTGATGAGGACTCCGAAATGACGTCCACTTTGGAGACTGCTGACACTATTGGTGCTGAAGTAAGGGGTGCATCACAGAGAGCTGCCACTTTTGTAAGGGAGACACGTCAGAGCTTTCATTTTGGTTCGTATGGAAGGGAAGACCGAATGGAAGGTGTTAAGATTAGTGGATTGGCTCCGAGTGAAGCACTGGATGCTTCTGTCCCCATCAGCCTTGCTCCAACCCTCCCATCGCCAATGTCTCGTCCTGAGAAAAAGACCTATTGCTGTGCTGAGTGTGGAAAAGAGTATGCCAGTCGCAGTGGACTGAAGGTGAGGACATTTTTTTTTATAACTATTGAGTATGCTATAGTGTAAAGCATTTTTTTAAGGAGGTTTCAACAATATTTTACAGCTTTAGCATAGAACTATATCTTGCAAGGGACTAATATTTCAAAACAATTAGCATCTTAATCATGATACCAGAAGAAGACTTAAACTATGTTGAATTTAAAGTCCATAAAAATTCATATATAAAGAGAAAAGCTGCATGCACCAGTCATAAGTAACCTTTATGTTCCCAGGGGCACATGAAGCACCATGGTGTGGTAACCAAAACAACACGTCCACCACCCCGGAGTAGTCGTTCCTCCACTGACCAACTTCCTTCTTCTACATCTATGACTTCATTGAATATTCCTGCCACCAGGAGCTCAGCAGGCTTCTGGAACCAGTACCAAGCCTTCCTCAACACCAGTAATGAGCCAACTGATGACCCAACCACTGGCAGCCAAGGAGAAGATGGGTCGACACAGTCTGTGAAATCACCTGTTCAATCTCAGATGGATCCAAGAGCCCATGATGAAGCTGAGGAAGAGTCTAGTGAAGGGTCATAACTCGAGTGAGCATGATTGGCTGGATAATGATCTGGTGTATTCAATCAGTGTTTACCTTTTGGTGAAACTGTATGGGCATTTGCGTAGTATTGCTTCCTTAACACATTTCAATTAGCCTGTCAGTTTGATAGTCAGAGTAAAATGTTTGTATGTGAAAGTTGTGAGTCAACCAGCTTGGTCTTGTGTTAAAAAAAGAGACAGCTATTGTACAAATAGAGGTGAAAATATTCAAGAAGTAACAAAGTAAGTCCAGTTTTTGCTGGATTTGATTTAAAAAAAAAAAGTGACACTACCTTTGTCTGGCTGAAGTTGTTAATAGTTTGATGCACATTCTAACAGAAAAAGAGTATCCCTGTTGTATCAATGTTTCATATCAGACCTGGGTCAAACAATTAGCAGTGTAGGGTTTTGTTTTTTGTTTATTTTCACTATTTGCAGAGAGGTAAGGTTTACCACGTTTGAACAAATTTGATATTATCTGTTAATTAGTGAGTCACAGAGAATTACACTAAAGAAATTGTTTCAAATAATTCTGTCAGTATGTAAACGCTTCGGGGCTCATCGTGTTGTGCCATGTACCAAATCTTATCCAACTGGCACCAAAAGAAGCCCATGCTAACCAAAAGAAAATGTCTTTACAAATGCTTCCCGACCTAGGTCTGTTTCATATCTAAAAGATTATTTACTTCAGTTACAGAGGGAACTGATATACATGAGCAAATTAGGTGAGTAAAACTATAATTACGTATGGTTGTTTTGCTTACCTAATTTACCTAACTTGGTATTACAAAGCATAACTTTTTTTTGCAAGAGCAAACAAGGCCAACAAACTGAATGTGGGATATATTACCTTTTCTTTCCCTGATCTTGTGGTTCAGATAAACTACTCATGTCATTGTGGTTTACTTTTCAGTATATTTGTCCTGTCAAACCAGAAGCACAGTTAGTGTTTGTGAACCCAGTGAGGTCATGGTCTTGTGTGTGACCTTTGACCTTCAGCTTTGTGAATATTATGATTGTTGTTTGGTCCAAAAGTAATATCTGTAACATGTTTTCAGTTACTAAACTTTAAGTTAGTATATATATCAGAAGTCTGTGTCTGTTTGTTGTAAGCTGTACTTTCAGTATCTGCATATTAAAATCTGATTAGGAAAAAACAACATCTTGCTCAGTCATATTTAAGGGAATTTTACACAACAAAATGTGTTGTATCTGTTTTCTGTAAACATAGACGGTATGCACGCTTATATGCATTTGTGAGTCCAGTTATAATGTCCAGTATCGCTTACAGCCACGTCCTTGATCTCTGCTCTCTGCAAATACAATCAATTGAATCAATTCTTCTGTCAAATCAACCAGAAGGCAAGGGGATTGGAGGAGGCCAGCTGTCTTTACTCAGACATGGCCAACACAGCAGCTGAGCTACATTATGTGTGCACATAAGGTTGGTTACAGAAAACGTGTGTCTCAAGTCTTAAAAAAAACATCCCTATGGGTGTATGTATTATTATAATTTTTTTTCTATTTCTTTTTTTGTGGGTGGGGGTTATTGCCTTTAATTGATAGTGACAGATGTCATTGTGAAGACAGGAAAGGGGGGAGAGAGAGAGAGGGGATGACACGCAGCAAAGGGCCATAGGTCGGAGTTGAATCCATGGCCGCTGCAGCAAGGACTCAGCCTTGGTACATGGGGCACCAGCTCTACCAGGTAAGCTACCTGTGCGCCCTGTGGGTGTATGTATGTATACATTTGTCTCTGTATGCATCTGCACACATAGTTAGTAATAAGCATCATGTCCACAGCAGCCACCTTATGTGATGTGAAGTCTAAAGCTGCCCAACAAATGAGTGCTCCCACATGCATCCCAATAAGCCCACTATGTCAACTGACAAAGTGTGCATTTGGCAGGGGTGAAATGTATAGTATAATTACATAAGTACTGTACTTCATGCTACTTTCTACTTCTACTCCATTACAATTCAGAGGAAATACTGTTCAGTATAATAATTTGACAGGTCTGGTTATTTTGCACATAAAAACTATCCCATACAAAACATATGAAGAGTTTATAGAACATGTTTTGTTATAGATTAAACTACAGTTTACTACAGTGTACAGTATACAAGTAGAGCTGAAACAATCAATCAGACAATCAACAGAAAATTATGATTTGGAGAACCATTTAAGTAATATTTAATAAAATGATTGTTCATGATTCCAGCTTCTTAAATGTGAGGATTTGTTGCATTTTGAGATTTAGACTATTGGTTGGACAAAACAAACATTGTGAATGTGTCACTTTGGGCTCTGGGTAAAAGGGATAGTAAAATGCTGCTTACAAATTAATACATGAGTAATAATGATATAACACTCCCAGGAGCCTTCTTTTCTAAATTGAGTTTTACTTTTAATACTTTAAGTAGGGCTCTGTTTTTCTGTTTATACTTACATACCTATACTTAGGCAAAATTACTAAATAAATGCAGGACTTTTTACTTACTTGATATGGAATATTTTTACAGTGTAGTATTAGTACTATTAGTAAAGGATCTGAGTACTTCCTCCATCACTTGTGTGTGGCAGCATGCAGTTATAATCTGGAAACCAACCCATCACTGTCTTTACAAAGGCAGAGAACGGAGCATTCCACAAAAAAATAATCCCTGCTATATACTATAGGAGGTTATATACCTCATCTGACACGTTATTGCTTGAATGTATGTGAAACGTGTGCATTAGAGGGCGCAATTCCTCTTTTTAAACACAGTTTGATGCTGCATATTGTATACAGTAAGTTTGGGCCTATTTGTGCAGCACTTATTAAGAATCAGTAAGAGAAAGGACTGTTAATCTGTCTGGTAAATACATTCCAGTAAGCACAGCCAGTAATAGATAATGAACTCCCCATGTTTAAAACCTAACCAGGTGTAACACTATGAAAATATAGCTCAGCAATACTTGGATATTGCCTTCGGCTTGTAAATAGGGTTAGGGTAACAACTGTTTTTAAGGTGGAAGTAATATCTTAGCAATTGGGTAAATTGTATGATATGGTGAAGCCATATTTCTGTTCACGGGAACAGATGATTGTTGATAAGTCCCCCTAAAAATAATAATAGACACATCTTTAAAATATTCTTACACAAACTTAGCTGCATACTTTGATGACGAATTTATCATTGCGCTCATTTCTCTGTAAATAATACCAGCTTAATGCATTTCAGGGAGCATTAAGGCATTTAATCACAGCCTAAGGGTAAGAGCAAACCGTGCCAAGTCTAATGTGAAGGTCACCAAGTTGATTCCAGCCCTCCATGTCGGAGGGGCGGGCTGATCCAGGAGGGGGAAGGTTTACAACCTTCTACTTTCCAACTAAAGGTCTCCGGGGAGTATCAAACTACCACGTCTGCAGCAAGGGGAGAGGAGAGGAGAAGAGGAGAGGGGGTCAAAATAAGCCGACTGGAAGATAGGACAGCGAGGAGTTGAGACTGCTCCATGAAAACAAAGTCGGCTGCAACTTCTGGGGCGAAGCGCAGGCTGAATTTGGACATAAAATACGCGCAGCTTGCAGCTCCAGAGCCCCCCTTCAGACTTCCTGCTTCCAGTAACGTCCGATAATTTGGTTAAAATTCACCCAAACGCGAGGAGAATGCACAGACTGGACAAATACCTCTCTTGGTTTAAGTAACTAGTTGCAGAGACGCACTGCTGCGTATCTTCTGGCAACTGTTTTTGTGTTTTGCGCCAAGTCGATCTCGGCTGCGCCCGAAAATTGGTTCGTTGGATACGTGTTTCCGCAGATAATGTTCTGACAAATAGCAAAGTGAAGTTTGCGCGAACGTTTACAGAAAGATCTGATTTTGTATAGTTTTGTTTTTTTTGGGGAGAGTCAAGTGATGGCACCAGAGCTCAAATCGCTTGTCCGACTGCTGCTGCTGGCGGTGGTGTGGGAGCTGAGCGCACAGGGAGCGACGGAGCGAGCAATCAATCCAGAGGTGAGAAATAAAGCCAAAGGTGAGGAGTATAGAGCCACAGTAGAGGAATAAAGCCCAACAGAATCAAGCTATAAAGACTCATAAATGAATCCGAAATTGATGAATAAAGTTCAATAAATAGGCTAAATGCAGAATTGAACAATAAAGCTAGATAAATAAATCCAGAACCATTCGACCAAGCCAGATTAAAAAAAATGCAGCATTAAGAGATAAAGCCAGAAAAAGAAATGCACAGCATAGGAATAAGACAGATAAATAGTTCTATATCCAAAATAAATACAACTTGATAAATACATTTAGAGTTGAATAAGAAAGTTAAACAAATAATAATGTGAGGCAGCATAAGTATAATTTAGACTTTTGGAGTTAAAGACAAGTTTAATTTCTAAGTGACACATATACTGTATTCACATATGTAAGAGACTCTGCATGTTTCTGAATTGACAAAAAAAAAAAAAAACTGATAAATGTTGTTGATGTTAAAGGTTTGGATCCTGATTGGTGGTAATTCCAGCAGTTGCCTGTTGTTGGTGCAGGGATATGGGAAGGGCTTTGACCCTGGGTTAGAGGAAGCAGCCCATAATGATGATAGCGCTCGTGAAAACACTGAGAAATGCTGAGGGGGCAAAAACAGGAGAGCAAAAAAAAAAGCAAATGAGGAGAAATGCATGCGCTTGTATTGTGGTCGGGGCAGAGACAGAGGCAGTTTTTGTGGGAATGGAGGGGGGGATTGATAGTTGTGGGTACGGTTATATTTAGAGGGATCGGGAGATGTAATTGTTGACATCTGTCCTGATTTATGGCTGAGTGGACTGGGGGGAGGTGGGTTTTACAATCTGAGAGGTTCTGCAGCATCTGAGACATGGTCATATGTGGAAAAACACTCTCCACAGTTTGAACTGTACTTCTGAGCTGAGTACCAGGTCTCAGTAGTGTTACAGATCAAAGAAGAATTAGCTGAGATTTTCCTGCCCCCCTCTGGTCTGTTCTGTATTATCAGCAGTCCTCCAACCCCACAGCCAGTGTAGCATTAGGAAGTTCTGGGTTAATGTTGCAGGAAGTGACATTGTTATGATACCCCTACACACCTGCTTCCTTCGGCACCAGATCGCAACCATCACTCCTCAGTGATCTGCCTCCTCTGTGGAGGTCTGAAAGTATTTTATAGAAGTATCTAGTTTTCATTATGGATTCCCATGTTTTTTGTAGTCTCTTCACACTGATATAGGCTACTAAATATAACATCATTCTTGTAAGAAAGGGAAAATGTATAATATAATAGCAATTATAGGCTAATAAGGCCTAAATAAATAAATAAATGTTTTATTTGATATTTCTGGCCCCACAGTATGTGCGTAGAAAAATTCTGGCCCCTTGAACAAATGTAGTTGAATACCGCTGGCCTGTGGAATAATCATTCCAGCTGTGCTAGGGGAAGAAAATGAAATAACTCCACTGACCTACATAAGACTGTCAAATGCAAGGCACAGTCCAAGATTCACATGAAAACAAAACCTTTGACAAATGGCCAGACAAGTTCAAAATATGTATTGTAGCAAGTAATGCTAAGCAACTTCTAGGCTTCAAGGAAGACATAACTTAGATGAGACTGAATAGTTATCCACCATGAATTGACTGTCAAAGCTAAAAAATGCAAGTTGCAAGTTATTTGTTACTTTGGAAGTAGGTTGCGTCATATGAAGAGTCCTTTTTATTTCGAGTTGATCTTTGTATATCAAAAAGAGTGGCAACATAGATAGATAGATGGATGGATGG